CTCGGGACTTGGGGCATGCGCAGTCGGACAGGTTAGTTTAGAAGGGGATGGCGGTGTCAAGTAAGCGAGCGAAGCGAGTGAACAGAATTCTTCATGCCCTTCGTGGCTATTTTTTTTAAACCATACTGAAATAGACCCCGCCGCAATGCGGGGCTTCATCGACTATACTTTGGTATTATTTCGTCGGAGGGGGACGCCTCCCGCCCTCCCTAATAAAGCGATTTTTCCTAGAGGGCAGTGGATTTTTCTCAGAAATCATTCAATAATTTTTTTATCTTAAACATTTAATATAAAAAATAGGCATTTCCGGAGGGGGAAAAGGGTGAGAGCGAATCTACCCTCCCCCACCCATTTCACTCTACCCTCCTCCCTCTATCAAGGCTATTTGATTATAAACCTTAACTTTTTGCCAATCATGCCGAAATCGAAGCGTACTCCACCTCCACCTATACCCAAAAATTTAGGATCTTCGGTTAACAATACACAAAAGTCAACAGTGATAAATCAGTCTACTATAGAAAACTACCATGGGAACAAAACCATCCGAGTAAGTCCAAGTGACCTAGCAGCTTTTAAAGCAGAGATGAAAGCACAGTTAAAAAAAATTATCTGAATCAATAGAGAAGCAGTTCGTGGAGTTGAAAAAAGAGAATGAAATCACTTCAGAAAGTCTCGAATTTCAGTCTGAGAAATACGATAATATGCTTGTTAAAATGGAGCAGTATGAAAAGGAAAAAAGTAAAACATCGGAAACTTGACGACAAAATTGAGTAAAAAGCTGATTTGAGTAAAAATATTTTTCAAATTTGGCGGAAAGTGTGTCACTTTAAAAGACACTGGTCTGAAAGACATCTACATAACTAATCTCAACAAAGAAGTGACCACTAAATCCATTATTGTGGAATTGGAAAAGTGTCACGGTAAAGCAGCCAATTTTGTCAGCTGTTAAAAACCTGAATAAAAAATCAATACACATTATATACCATAACATGTTATAAAACGTTCTAATCGTGTCTCCCAGTTAGATTTATATTATTTTTTTTGCCCTTTGGGTGTCTTCTCTTGCTTGAAGGGTTATCTTTGCTCCGTTAACTTTGTCCATGCCGCACAATATATAGTAGTCTGTAAGGTATAGCAGTCACTTTCTTTATTAAATTATTTTGTTTAGGTAGGTACGGGCAAGGTTTTAGAAGGTTTTTGTTTGGGAATAAAAATTTCTTTAGTAGGGCGAGTTTCTTTATAATATTTCTCCTCTGATCAGCTATTCGTTGTTCGATAAGATGAGCAAGTGCAGGAAATCTGTTGATAAAATCTTCATACATGCGGCTTCTATATATTGTTTGGTTTCTGCCTAAATCTACTGTAACTCGATAGTAAGATCGCATTACAACTTCATTTAGTTCACTGGTCCATGTCATTCGGGTCTGCACTCTATTTAGTAATATGTGTTTCTGGGGTTCTTTATTATTATTATAGGCGGTATTTAAATAGTTCTCTCATCTGGTTGGGTTGTACAAATATACGAGTATGAATGAAAATGATAAATATTAATAAATAGACATATATTAATCTAGTGAGATAAATACATATTATTATTATTAATATCATAAATACTAAAAATAAGAGAAAACAGGAAATAAGAAGAATGTACTAGCGTGGTCTAAATAGTGAATAATTACTGCTTCCATTTCCCAAGTACGACACATGTGCCTTGACAATAACCGCAGTGAATACGATCCTTCAGTGTCCTTGCGAACTTCCGATGTAAAAGGTATGGTTAGGTGTCTACGGAAGCTATTAACTACCTACCAACAAACGATATCCGCATTGTAAAAGTATATAGTTCTAATATTATATTATATAACTTTCAATTGCACATTCTTATTAGAAAAATTTAAGCGCGTTGAAATCTTTTCTTTTGGCTAGACGAAAATTTGCAACTTTTTCATAACTATATTGTTATTTTCTAAATAATAATGAATTACGAATATACTTACCTACCATTTTATTGTATCCTGCAGTAAATTCAGTATATGTTTAAAAATGCATTAAATATCTGAATTGATCGTTGTTTTATTACTTATTTTATGAGGCATTTTATTTAATTGTGTTTACCACACATTTGCAATCAAGCTTTACATTAACGCTACAGGAAGGATTTAAGCTAATGAAATGAAAAAAAAAAACATTCTAACTTCAATATGTAAAGTGGCTAGGCTTACTATCTGCTTGAGTTTCTGTAATTACATGCGAACGATGTAAACACATGACTTAAAATTCTTTAAAATATTTGAGGTGTTGTTAAAATAGTACCAAATATTTTAGTATGAAATAGAAAAAAATTATAAGGTTCTTTGTGAGTTCTCTTAATCTTACAACAAATAGCGGTACGTGGTAAAACTATCTTATTATAAAGTTTTTATCTTCATAAAGTAATTTTCGCCTTGTAAATTTTATGGCCGTGTTTATTAATCACAGCATGCTTGTTTGTTTTATCGCACCGCACGCCATAACATGGAATAATTTATCATGGTCCAATTTAAACGTCCTGATAAATTTTGACGAATTAGCGAATAATTTACCGTATTAAGCAAATATGATAGAAGCCGTGACGCACGGACAACTACCATAAAACCGCCGAGATGTTTAACGGACAAACATTAAAGACCGATTGTCTTGTTGTGTGTGTAGTACTAATCATACCAACTAGCTGTAATGTGTAACTTGAATTTCTTTTAAAGACACGAAAGATATTCCAAGAGTTAAAAAACTAAACAATTATTCATAGGCTAATTTTAGTAAATTTTCTTGTCACCCTGTTTTAAAATACCTTGGTAAAAATCAACTTGTTTATATTTTTACTAGTCAATTTGTTTAATAATGTACGTTAAAAATAAATATAATAATAAACAAATTGCAATGCATAATATTTTTTTATTTTTTCTAAAGTGGAAAATAAAACACATAACGTAAAAAGAAAATCAAGATAATGACTTTTTATTTCTCTTAAGAACTGGGAGTTGTTTCTAGGTGTACTAGTTAATACCGGATTGCATTGGAGTTAAGTATAACAACATACTATCTTGTTACGAGTACGTGTCTTTATAGCCCTGCACCGATTACTTAAAACACGTGACATGACGTGCTAGTGTTGACAAACAATAGGATTAGGAGTCGCGCGGTAATTTTATGGCTAAATACAATTACACTTACTGCAAAGTGTAATTCAGGCTAAATCCACTCGTAGCTACGACATTCACTGATAACATTATAATTTGCGACCTTGACACTGCTATAATATATGGACGTATGATTATCGTTAGTCTCTTAGCAACTAAGCATAAAATAAATATATTACTTTTAAATTAATAATAAGTACGATTTCAACTGTTTACTCGAATGCAGAAAGTAAAGATGCTTATGATGTTATCCTAAAAGACAACGACCATGAAGGCTACTCCAAAATAAAGCCGAAAACTATCAATACTAAAAGGAATAATATAGAGCCACAAAAACAAAAAGAGACAACAAAGACAGTCACTTGTTTTTAACTAGCAGAAGCCTATCGGAAATAGGTTAGTAGACCGCATTTGAAACATGAAGACCTAACAATTTATGTTTTATTAAATTAATTTACAAAGATCCGAACTTGAACACTAGTTATGATGAAACGCATGTGCATAAGATTTGAAAAAGTGACGTATATACTGAGTCAGAATACGCTAAACTCTTCCTCTTCTTTATTAACACGTAAAAGTTGACTGGTCTTTTTGGGCCTCTCCCGACGTAGGATTGAATTGCTAAACTACCATTATTTTTCAATATACACAATACAATGTTCAATTACGGCTTTCTGTTATAACCACGAAGATAATTTATTTAATCATAAAGTATCTTTTTATATAGAACTAAGGGTATAATAGAATTCTGGGATGATATAATCATTAACTCTAGTGCTTGTGTCAGGATCAGCGGGGCCTAATAATACTGGTTTATCTGTCAGACATGGTTGTGTGTCTTCCTCGCGGCTATTCAAACTGTTAATGGACAGTTATTTGAAAAGTAAGATTTTCTAAGAATGTGGGTTATGAATGGATGGGTTAGCTATCAAATGCCCTCTTGTAAGCCGACAATCTTATCATATTTGCGACGTCAGCACGCGGACGGGAGCTAGTGGATGATTTTGTGTATTACGGATATTTTAGTAGGGATGATAGACATGACAAGGATATAGGACGAAGAGTGAATGCAGGAAACAGAGTAAATGAGGCTTTTCACAATTGTGGAAAGTCAGAATGTGTAAAAAAAATGTCAATTCACAATGCTGTGTTAGTAGGTAACTTAATGTAGTGAAAGTTGGGTGTAGCAGAAGAAGCATGAGAGCATGTTGCAGATCATAAAGAAAATCATAAAGAAGTATTTCAGTTCGGGATGACTGTGCTAATAGCGATATATTGAGGATAGGCCAAAATAAGAGTACCCTGTACTGACGAGCATGTATGCGCATATGTTATCCACATACATACATACACAAAAGGAGCAAGGTGGGTGAGGAACGTGCAAAATGGAAATTCGAAGTCTCTGCCTATACCACTGGGTGACCGGCATAAGAGTTAATGTTATCCAAGGGTAGCAAAAGAGCTCATAGTTCCAGTGGAGGGAGACACGTTTAGTCTGTCGATGTTCTACAGGTTAATTTCAGATAACATGCAAAAGATTTACATTGTCCAGTCCCTCTATCCCTATCTTGGCATCAAATGCCTCTGTACGGTCAGACTTCATCCATATGTTGTTGACGTGCCTCGGATGCGTCTGCGTGCAAAGCATTTTATTTCATCGTTTCTTATGCGCACAGCAAGGGTTGAAATTCTTTATCTGTTTTTTTTTATGCAAGTTATTGGTAATAAACTAGCTCACAGTCCACCGGACCGTAAGTGGATGATGTGTCCTATAAACGTCTCTATTTAACTTTAGCTAAGAATTCTAGCTGTAAAACATACCTCAGGTAAGCAGTGGTGCTGCAAACAGTAGTAGTCCTGTGAACCGTCATTGTGGCACCAAGTTCCATCCGGGAAATAAGGGTCGAGACCAGCCGTGTTGAGTTCTACACGCGGTGCATAGAAACCACCGCCAGCCGCGCGCCGGCAAAATATTGCACACCCCATCCACATACGAGCTACGGACAAAAAATTAGTATAACGGTTACTTATAACTATGCGAATACACATTGAATGAAAAAATTTTTTTACAGATTTTATTTTATATTAGCGACGTTTTGATTACATTGCAGAACCCATAGTTACGAGGGCACTGAAGTGTTCGAAGTCCCAATGTCATAGTTAACATCGGCTTACTTTCGGTTTAAAATAATTAATTTTTTTCGATCTACACAGAAAGAACTTAAAGTATGTAGAACTTTTGCAGTGCAGTACTTCACATTCTACTACAGTATTTTTGGGTTTAGATTTAATTTTATAAATTATAGGATCCCAAACAGATGGTAGCACCCAGCCAGCGCTATTTTCTATTAAAATAGGACGTTTGATTTCTAGCGAATCATCATTGGTAGGAATTGGTGTTATTCTTTCTTTGCGAGGATTTGTGGTTTATTAAATTTTATGTAATGGGAGAAGCGATCCTGTACGTGTTCATAGATTGCAGACTTCCCAGACGGCGGGTGATCTTCCCTTTTCCTTCCACGGCCAAAGATTCAAAATGAAGATATTGTTTACATTACATTTTGATTAATTCTTATTTCTTGCTTCTTAGTAAGAAAATTAAAGTAAAATAAATTAAATCACTGTAAAATACATCAGACTGGGGACCCGCAGTAGATTTGGGGCTAAGCACTCGCCTTCAATTTACTTTGGGTGTAACATATTATAGGCATCGGGAGCATAGACTTAGAATATACTGGCGTATCGCGAGCGCTACGCACACTGATACAATGTGTACGTGCACGGCTAACAACAATCAAAGTCAAAACTTCATCGTGCAATAGAATAACTATACTATTACTATTACTGGCACAACTTCTGCACTACTGAAATTGTTAGTTGAAATTTTAGGTAATGATTTACTACGGGCTCAACGATTAAGGAAAAAAATATTAGATAAAAATTATCACAGCACATAAATAAATATTTCAAAGACATACATACATACATACATATAATCACGCCTCTTTCCCGTAGGGGTAGGCAGAGACCAGTTCTTTCCACTTGCTACGATCCTTACATACTTGTTTTGCTTCGTCCACTTTCATTATTCCCTTCATACATGCTCTACGGTTTAGGGTACTCTTGACCTGGCCTTTTTTCAAGACATTGCTGGACACATGTCTTTGATACATATTAGCAATTAATATGTATCAAAGACATGTGTCCAGCAATAATACTTCGTTAATTTGTACTATAGTATGACGGCCTGCTTTTCCTGCTCCATAATATTACAGCCTCTCAAAAATCCACTGCTGAACCATATCTGTGTAATAAATACTAACAGTGGGTCAACTCCTTTGTTATGCCGCAAAAGACTTACAAGTCTGTCTCTAAAAATATCCAAAGGTTCATCCGGTCCCTAAAAATATACAAGGGTTGTTACAAAAACATTTCCTCAGATAATAATATCATAATATTATATTTTATCTGTATTCCTCGTAATAATTTATTTTTCTATACAAATATACAAACTAATTACCTAATGATTTCTTATATTTACGCGAACACTACACATTGAATAAAATTACTTTTACGTATTTTATCGCGTTTAATTAACTTATTTTGCTTATTTTTATTAATTCCCGACGTTTCGGGTGCTTTCCAGAACCCATGGTCACCCATGAACATAACTAATTACCTACTACTTTACAAAATTAATTGTGTTCCGTTCCGCGGCTTCACCTGATTTGTCGTGATAGAAACAAAGGCTTGTGCTTGTGCAATTAGGTACCTACCTCATTTTATCATATTTTACCTATATAGCAGTATCTTAGGTATTTGGATTAAATTATTGGATAGGGGGTTGAACAGAATAAATAAAATATGTTAAATTATACGTTGGTTCTGTTTATTCAACGCACGCCGCCTCGTTACAGATGTTCAACCGACAAATATTTAGGTTATTTGTTATTGGGAGTAATAAAACAAGTAATTGATGGGAAAGTATTGAAACAAGATGCATTCACTATTTATATAAATAAGAACTAGGAAATGTGAAATGAATAAAAAATAAAAGGGCGATAGTGTCGCAAATGAATTCAACAAATCAATTTTCCAAGCAAGGAAAAATATATGCGGTTAGAGTCTCTTTACTTTAGTTTACTTTTGCGATCACGATCACGACTGAGAATAGTATGCTTGATTATAATATCTCACGGACGACTATAACTTATTTTTTCTAGACTAGGAATTGCCAAAAAACAATTTATTAGAAGCCCTTTATTGCGAAACAAAAACGAGGCAAAAACTTAGTTCGGATCAAGAAGACAAGAAGTTATAAATAAATCTGTATTTTTTTTACGAATTGAGCTTTCTTTTCCTGTACAGTTATCAAAACATGAAATATTGCAAAATATTATAACTTACTGTTTGATGAATTGTTCTGCAGCATTATTAAATAACTTTATTTTTATTTTGTAGTGACCGAATAACACCAATAGTTACTATAATATCTACCTATAACTAACTATATCTAATTTAAACATATTTGTGTCAGTAAATTTTTCTACATTCTACATTGCGCCAAAAGCCAATGGGTCCAAAAAACTATTTTTGGCGCTTAAACCAGCTAAAACTTCTGAGAAGTTTAAAAAAAGGTAAACGAAGCTACCGGACTAGACGAAGTTTTGATCAAATTTCGCCTAAAGTGTTTTTAAAGTATGTATGAAATTTATAACTCGTTTGCAGTCTGTAACATTTTTTTTAAACACGTCCTACTGGATGCTGGGCATACGTCTCCTCTCATTCCTGTGAGGGTTTTAAGGTAAGGAAATATCCGCCGTGCTGTCTCAATACATGTTGGCGAACTTCGCATGTCTACGAAATATATTTTTTCTTAATTCTCAGACATGCAGGTTTCCTCATGATGTTTTTCTTCACCGCCGAGCATGTGGTAAATCACCACTTAAAATTGCAATTACCAATTTTATTGGTGCCGGTGGGGATCGAACCCGGGTTGCTCGCGTACTGTGAAATTTACAGCGAGCGCTTAGCGCCTGGCGGCTCTTTTTTTTATTGTTACATTTTAATTAGCATGTGCGTTAAAACATTTTGCTTTACACAAAAACTCAATGAAGATGTTGTTTAACCATTTAGTACATGCATTTAAGACAAATATAGCATGTTGAACAGTGGTAGAGCCACGCGGCAGCTGTTGCTGTCGCAAGGATGGTCCGGCTTCAACCGGGGTGGTACCACGACCTCACAGAAAACCAGCATGAAGTAGAGGTTTACCTCTGCGTTTCGCTTGGTGAGTGCAGGTGGCCGGAGGCCCTTTTTACTGGAAATGAGGCATTCCATCTTAGTCCTCACGGGTGACAACGCATCTACATTTTGATTTGTAATAGGGGATAGATGTAGATGTCTATGGGCCGCAGCAACCACTTACCATCAGGTAGACTGTGTGCTCGTTTGTCACCCTTATCTTATAAAAAAAAAATGTCGCTTAAGCCTTTTCGCTGGCACCTAAAGAAAGGCCCAGCTCATGAGAATTTTGATGACCCGTCTGAAGAATAGATTTAACTTCTAATCATGTTTAAAAAATTTTGCCTTCCGTCGATATTATATAACAAAATCCTTATAAGGATTTTTATACACAACACTAATTTTGTTAAAGGAGCTATATTAAGCTTTTACCACGCCTTCGAACGCGTAAAACTTAAACAATATTTCTTGTAAAGCTATAATAGTGATCATAGGTCAAGTAGTTCAATTATCAAAAAACACTTTAAACTCAGTTTTTTTGGTATTGTCTTTAAAACTATGTGCGAAATACGAAAAGGTTATATAAAAAAAGAAAGAATCCATTAATTTTACGTAAAAAGTTATATGACTTTATCCTTCAACACTCATACTCGTAGTTTTGTTATAAAATAATGTTGAAGTAAAAAAAATAAAAATTGATTTTGCATCCGAACTGACAGAAGGAAAAGTGTGAGGACATTTTTAAAATTGCAAACCAAAATTTTTTTATGCTAACCTTTTTTTATATCCCATAAAGCTTATGAAATACTCATCAAAACTATATTTTTTATGAGTTTATAGATTACACAAATAAATTCCATGTTTTTCAAATGAAATATAGCATAGATAATTCCTGGAATTGCTTTATATCTGTTAGTGAAATTTTAACACAATCGGTTCAACCATTTCGAAGACACCAGAACAATTAGCTCGGACAGACAAACAGACAGACTGATACATGGCAGACAGACAGACACAGAGACAGGCAGATTTTGCAAAAAACCTCTTGAGCAATCAATGTCAATAGAATGCGAAATAGCTTTCCGATATTACAGACAGACACTTAAATTTTTTGTATGTACAGATTTTATTACTGTTACGAGCTTGGGGTTCGAGACAATTAAAAACTGCCGAGTAAATTACCAAAGTTGACCCTTTAATTACAGAAAACTAATTACAAGTTAAAACCACACTAATAACTAAACACAATAGTACTACTGATCACTTTAGTTAGCAGTTGTATCGCTTCGAAGTATTCGCTTGTATCGCCAATTCAACACAAACTGGGTCGCTTTTTTTTGTACCCACTGCAAGGCTACCCTCCAGAAGCGGGGGAGGGAGGTGGTGAATGCTCATAGCATACCATGGGAGCTGGCTGCGTGGTTATGTGGGACTCACTTTGAAGAAGTGTCTACCCACTAAACACCACCTGTGGGACTAGCATTGGCCTGTATGGCCTTTTTGCCGAATCAGAAGCGACCCCCTTTAGGGAAAAAGGGGCGCAGTGTCTATGTCGCGGTCTAAACCGGCCTTATATAAGTCCTTAGATAATTTCCAGAACCTTCTACTGTAGAAATATCTAGTATGTTCGAGTACATACCGGTCCCGACTGACTAGGTGTCGATAGTTCTAGGAAGTTCTTCCATAGAAATTTCTAGAAGGATCTTGACTCTCCTACTTCTGATACTCGATACTAGACGGCACTAGTGGTAAC